GAGTAAATAAAATCTGAAGTATACAGTAGATACTGTGAAAAGGAAATGGACCTGTTCAAAAGGAAGGATTACTGTGACAAAGAGAAATCCAGGAGATGGAGCAGGAGAAAGAGATACATGTATAATTGTACTGTAAATTTTTGTGGGTCTGTGGAAAGAAACAGTTATTGCTTAATTTTTTCTCTTTTTTTCAATTTTTCCCTTTTTCTCTTTTCTTAATTTCTTACAACTGTGGTTTGTTTTTTTTTCCTTCCAATTTTACATGCATATATCTGGTAATCTGAACAACTAATTTAAAGACAACACTAAGCAATTCAAAAAACACTGTCAAATTCATATTTTTTTGTTTAGTGAAATTCTGTATCATTTGTAATATTTTGTTTTATTACTATTTCATACTCTTTAAAACATAAAAAAAATCAAAGATATATAACTGCCCAATTGTATACATTTAACAATGTTTTTTGAATGGTTGGTTAGTGATGTTTGGTTTGTGACATTAGTTGAGTAAATGATTGGGTTGACACAGTACATGTACTGGTGGTTAGTAGCAGGAGGTGAATGAAGACCTAGAGCAAAGAGGTAAGGGTAACCATAGCCTGAGGCAGTCCATATTGAGGAAGAACAAGCTAAGACCCTCTCCTTATGTAGCTCAGCTTCAAAATCTGTACTGGGGACATATTGAGAGTACTGGCTCAGGTCTGAGCATCCAGACAGGGAGATTCTTGAGAGCCACACCTTGACTCTCTGTGACCTTATGCTGCCAGACCATTGTGCATGGTGCCTCCTCTTTAGCTGAGTGATGGTTTGCATTGCTCCATTGACCTAACAGAAATGTCAGATTTTCACCATACTAACACCTCCTGAAATGTAGCTCTTTCTGGCCTCTTTGCTTCAGATTCAGATATGAAAAAAGTGACCTTCATGCAAATTTATATGCAAATATTACATCACAATTCTAGCCATTGGTTTCTAGAAATCAAAAAGGAAAAAAAAAATGAGGAGAAAAATAAGACCACAAACATAGCTTTTCCCTAGCAGACAGCACTGTTCAGACAGGATCATGAACCTGAGAAAGATACATTTGTGAGGACCCAAGTGTACCCCAGGGTTTTTTAGAATTGAACTTGGGATGTGATCATTTTCAAAAAGAATCTTTTTTAGGAGGGCCTGTGATCATTTTCAACAGCTTATCCCACAGGTAAAAATTTCTTAGGAGGAAGGATGTTATATGTGGAAAGCTCTGTGGGTAAGCAATGGAATTGTGTTCTGCCAGTGTGGTGAGCTGAGAAGACGAAGTGACAGATCAGTGTCTGTCAGGCAACCAGGTCTAGCACCTTCCGCTGGACTATGTGTGCAGTCCCCTCCATTATAACTCTGGTTCCTGGGCTGGAGAGATGGCTCAGTGGTCTAAAGCACCTACTTAGAACAAGCTTAGCAAAAGCATCAGGGACTGCGGTTCAATCCCCCAGCACCACATGCCA